ATCTAAGAGAAGTGTTTCTACAGATTAGAAAAGCTAGATTAAAATTGAATTTAGAGAAATGTCAATTTTGGATGCAACGACTACCTTTTCTTAGACATATAATAACCTCTCAAGGAATAGGACCAGACTAGGAAAAGTTGAAGCAATTAAGAAATTAGTACCTTCAAAGAATGTATCTTAGCTATGCTTATTTTTAAAACTTGCTGAATACTATAGAAAGTTTATTCAAAACTTTTCTGAAATAGCTAGACTATTAAACAAGCTTTTGAAAAAAGAACAACAATATAATTAGAAAAAAGACCAAGATGAAGCTTTTAACACCTTTAAAAAGAGATTAATGACTGCATCTATATTAGCATACTCTAATTTTAAACAGACATTTATAGTAGCCACAGATTCTTTCAATAATGAATATAGAGCTACCTTAAGTCAAATAGGTCTTGATAATAAGGAACATCCAATTGCCTATGCTAGCAAAAGTTTTCAACTAGGAGAAGTAAATTATAGAGCCACTGAACTAGAATATGCTGCAATAGTATAAGCTGTTAAATATTTTTATAAATATTTAGGAACCTCCAAATTTATACTTATAATGGACTATATAGCTCTCAAATGGTTACAAACTGCAAAGCCAAAAGGAAAAATAGAAAGATAGATCTTAAAGTTACAACCTTATAACTTTGAGATTATTCATAAACTAGGCAGAATTTACTCAAATATAGATGCTCTCTCGAGATTGAAACAGGAAGAAATCATAATGTACTCATAAATTTAGACTTATATCAGAATTTATATAATTATCTGGAAACAGAGCAATTACCTTATAATCTAGATAATAAAGAGCAAAAACAGATTATGAATCAGAGTCGATTTTTCGAAACAAAATATAACTTATTATATAAAAGAAATAGAAAAGACTAAAACAACTCTATATGGGTGATTAAATGAACTGAAGTAGAGCTAATACTATATATGATGCATATTCATCCAACAGGTAGATATTTAGGAATGAATGCTATATATAACAAGATTGCTGCATAATATTACTAGAACCAAATATATAGAGATATTTAAGTATATTAAGGATTAGAATCATGAAAAATTATACTAACAATTAATCATGTCATGTAACTTTAAATTATGTGATTAATAATTGGTTAATCGTTTAACTGTTTATTAATCATTTAATTTTTTAACCATTTATTAATCGTTTAACCATTTATTAATCATTTAATTGTTTAATTATTTATTAATTATTTAACTGTTTATTAATTAATAAACGGTTAAATAATTAAACGATTAATAAATAGTTAAACAATTAAATGATTATTTAACTATTTATTAATAATTCAGAACTTGAATAGCTTAATTAAAGTACATCATTAATAAATGTTATTTCACCACTAAGTTAATACGAATGAATTTAAATTAGTAAAGAAGTATAGTTAATAAATATTTCTTATACTTACCTATTAAATTAACATAAATAAAATGAAATAATGAAAGATTAAATAGCTTATTTTAAATATTTAAATTAATAAACAGAGCTATTAGAGAAATAGCTTTTAAAAAATCAGGTTATAACTACTTATATTAATATATAAAATCTTCTAGAGACTAATGTTTAAGTAAAAGGATTTAAGAAAATTTTTTATAATTCAGATTATTTATAATACACAAATTAGATTCTTCTAAGTTACTACCATTCAACTACAATTGTACAACCATTTAATAACACTAATCGTATAACTATTTATTTAATTTTGTATTAAGACTAGATTATTAGTATAAATTTTAGATAAAAATAAAATAATCAAGAAAAGTAATTTTCTAATTTTTTTATTTATTTATACTAACAGATTAAATAGATATATGATTTATAAATAATTATTTTAAAAATAAAAAAAAAAACATTATTTAAGAATCTAAAATCATTACTGTATTGTTCAGCATAATGAACAGTTACCAGTTAGCAAAATTCCAATATATTTATTCAAAGTAATTCATTCCAATTGCATCTTCCATGATAGAAGATGTTAGTAGCAAGTTGTTTATTCTTTTAAACATAATTATTTTTTGTAAAAATTTCAAATATTATATAGTACTGCGATATATTGCTTCGAGAGAGGTTAGCATTAGCAAAATTTTAATAATAATGAATGTCTTGATGTCTTGTATTTATCCTTTTCAGCCTAAGGTAGTATAATCATTATTACTAGATTTAATCTGTCGTAGAAAGAAGAATGCATGTTAAAAAAACAAATATGAATATAAAAAAATTACACACAAATTGTTTAAAATATACTCAAATATTCAACATTATATTTTAAAAAAAGTATTTTTCTAATAAGCTTTGGGTCTAATCGTGTACATTAAGGCGTGATCAGGTTTCTCTACTTGAGAAAAGTCTCTCACATAGAACAGATGTTGCTGGTATACACAAATATTTATATGCTAATAGTAATAAAATCGGAAACTCACTTTTATGATCGTTCTACCATTACCAAGGATTATAATTATAATTAATAGGTGCAATATCTAAATATCGTGCTATTTCATCTAAAGATGTAGTATCTTCTTGTTCCTGTGTGCCAAAAATACCTTCAAAAAATGGATTTTGCATTATTTCAGTATCTGCTAATAATAGTGTCTCTTGTTCTAGTTCATTGTTACTAGTGATATTAAGCTGCTGTAAATTCTCAAATTCATTTTTTAATTTTGTCCTAGCCTTTTCTTGTTCTCTGCTTGTAAATGCTAACATTTTTTTTGTTCAAAGATCTAGAAGGGTAGCAACTAAACTGACTTCATAAAAATCATACCAATATTTGTTTAAAAAATTAAAAATTGCATTTTTAAATTCTTGTTCGATTTTATTGAGATCAGGTGGTGTATGTAAACGAGTATCATACTTGTAAAATACAGAATCTGGTGAGTAAAATTCATCATCACTTTCAGAATCTAATATGTCTAATTCTACTAATATTAAAAAAGTAATTTTTAAGCAAAATAGGTTATATCATTGCATTTAACATCAATAATTAATATTAATATCTACTAATAATTGTCTGTATTATTTTACCAACAATAATTTTACTGAAAATATAAAACTAGCTAAACCCTAATTCTAAATCAGGCTAAAATGTCAGCAAAATGACACAGTCAATAAAATAAGTGTCAGTGAAATAAGTGTCACCCAATAATTAGTAATTATAAAAATTAATGATTACTAATCATTAGTGAACTTCAAATATTAATTATCATGTTGGGAAAACTTACTATTATTACTGTCATCACAATCATATTCGTTATCAATTTCAACACTATTAAAATCTTTGAATCGATTTTGCAATTCTCAGATTGTCAGATACATTATTGAAAGAGTAGGATATTTACTTCCTGAAAAGAATTTTGTTACAAGTTCAAGTGGTTTTAATGCATTAATGATTCTTTCTAACAAATTCCATTCGTGATCTTTTAAAAGTAACTGAGATAATTTTTGACCATTTTTTTTTATTTTCGTTTCCTTTTTGTAATAGTAATGTAGATACTAACTATTTGATTGCATCTTTTAGTTCTAAAAGCCGTGTCCATGAATAATAACTAGAGTTCTATCTTGTACAAATATCAGAAATGTTACGTAAAATTTTTATTGTAGATTCATCTATTTCTTTGTTATCATCTTCTGCAGAATCAATTTTGTCTATATCAAGATTTGACAATTCATTGAACTGAAGAATTTCAATATTCTTTTCTTGAATATAATTTTGACGTGCAAGATCTATCTGTGCTATGTCAAGCCGCTCAGATTGTTTAACTGACTTTGTAAAAAATTTTACTAATTTTTTAAATCTTGTTACATAAGGTTTGATTTTTTTTAGACCTTTAATTACTGAGAGCTTGAGCGTATGAGCAGAACAAGGTAACCATTCAATATCTTCCCAAATTGTAAAGGCTTTTTTTATATTTGAACTGTTGTCAGTGACCTCTATAAATAATTTTTCATTTAAACTAAATTCATCTATCTTATTCTTAAGATAATTACAGATTTTCTCAGCTGTATGAGGATAATGCATACATTCAATTGTAAGAAGTATGTTAATAGGTTCAAAATTAGGTGTTAGCTAATGAATTGTGACACCAATATATCCAAATTTAGATTGTGCAGTCCAGAGGTCTGTGGTAATCGCAACATATTCACATATTTCATTAATTATTTTTTTGAGTTTAATTATTCCATCTTGATAATTTGCTGCTATAAAATTTTTACACAATTTATTTGATAGTGTTTTAAACCGTGGATCAATTTTTTTCATAAATC